GTGAATATAATGTAACTGACATATGCTTTATGCAAAAGGTCTCTTGTAAGGTACCATTACAAAGCTAATAATCTACTGAGCGTGTTCATCCTATTTGTATGTATGTATCATTCCTCTATCTAAAACTAGATATATAAAGTTAACTCTGAGGTACTATTGTAATTATGCAAAGTGTGGGCCATTAATGGTGGTTTAGAATCTTGATGGCTCCCATTAACCAGGACAATTGGTTGTAAATGGCTCTGGATACTTGTAAGCCTTCCTGTGTTTCTGTGAGTCAGACCGGAAAGAATGGAGGCTTGGGGTCTCACAGGACATGTAACCATGTCACCTGATACTGAAATCCATGTTTAACCTGGTGCTTTTCCATTTAGAAGGAGGGGTGGGGATCCAGAGAAACAAAAGATTCCCGCCTTGTGCCAAAGCTATAAAGGGGGGTGGAACAGAACAAAGGGGGCTACAGTTATGAGGAATCCCCTAGTTACTGCCTGAGCTGGAACTAACAAGAACTGTACTGGGGAAAGGATTGGGCCCAGACTAAGAAGGAGTCTAGTCTGTGAAAGAAGCTTATTGGAGCATCTCTTAGGGTGAGATTTACCTGTATTCAGTTTCTTAAATGTATTAGGTTTAGACTTGCGTGTTGTGTTTTATTTTGCTTGGTAACTTACTTTGTTCTGTCTGTTATTACTTGATACCACTTAAATCCTACTTTTTATACTTAATAAAATCACTTTTGTTTATTAAGTAACCTAGAGTAAGTGATTAACACCTGGGGGAGCAAACAGCTGTGCATTATTCTCTATCAGTGTTACAGAGGGCAGACAATTTATGAGTTTACCCTGTATAAGCTTTATATAGAGTAAAACGGATTTATTTTGGGGTTTGGATCCCACTGGGAGCTGGGTGTCTGGGTGTTAGATACAGGAAACCCGCTGAGCAGTTTTGATTAAAGTCTGCAGCCTTGGGAGCGTGGTTCAGACCCTGGGTCTGTGTTGCAGCGGAGGAGTGTGTCTGGCTCAACAAGACAGGGTTCTGGAGTCCCAAGCTGGCAGGGAAAACGGGCTCAGAGGTAGTTTCAGCATGTCAGGCGACAGTCCCAAGTGGGTCTCTGTGACCCAACCTGTCATATAAACATGTTTAGTTTTTGTAACCTTTCCTCATAGGTCAGGTTTTCTAAACAGTTTTATCATTTTTGTTAAAACATCCTCTGGATGTTTTCCAATTTGTCCACATCTTTTCTAAAGTGTGGTGCTTACAATTGGATACAGTACTCCTTCCTATGTCTTACATACAATACTCCTGTTAATACACCCCAGAATTATATTGGCCTTTTTTTTTGCAACTGCATCACATTGTTGACTAATACTCAATTTGTGATTAACTATAACCCCCAGATCCTTTTCAACAGTATTACAACCTAGCCAAATATTGCCCATTTTGTAGTTGTGCATTTGATTTTTCCTTCCTAAATGAGGTATTTTGCATTTGTCTTTATTGAATTTCATCTTGTTGAATTCAGACCAATTCTCCAATTTGTCTAGGTTGTTTTAAATTCTAATCCTGTCTTCCAAAGTGCTTGCAAACCCTTCCAGAGTGTTATGTGCAGATTATATAAGCATATTCTCCACTCCATTATCCAAGTCATTATTAAAAATATTGAATAGTACCAGACCCCATTAGAGACACCCTCCCAGTTTGACAGCCGGCCATTAATAACTACTCTGAATAAAATCTTTCTCTACTTCTATCTTCATCTGGCTGCTTATCACTCACAAACACACAAAGCTCCACCAAACAATACCCAGCTCTTGCATTTGCATTCAGACCCCAGGGAAAACCCCTCAGACCACACGGTTCCATTCCTACTCCAGCCTTGTCATGATGATCTGTGATTTGGGCAGTGGCTTCTCCTGTTTCAGCTATCATAAACCAAAGGCTTATAATTTCTCCCTTATTTATCTTGAATGAAAGACAGCTATCATCCCCACCAGCTTCAAGGAGGTTTGTGACTGCCCATGGATCAAAGACCCAACCTCCAACATAACAATATTTTTCAAGTGACTGGCTTGCTCATCCAGAACATTTACCTCTAAAATGTATGAAAACAAGATAAAAATGTGGAACATCAGTGCATAATCACAAAATGTCTGTGCTATTTGAGTTTGTACCATGTAGATTGCGTATACTTAAACAGTTTTATCGCTCTCTGAAAGCGCCTTGGAGCAGGGATTGTCTCTTATAATTGCTTGTACAGCATCAAGCACATTGATGGTATAAAATGACAAACTATAATAATGGTGGTTTGATTAAGGAAGACATGAATGATGCATTAGGCAGCATATGTAAAACACAATTACTGCCATATCAAAAGACACTTAATTTTCTCTATCATACCCAATCTAAACTTCCTAGAATGTGTGGAACTTCAGAGAACTGATTAGCATTAGAAAAGTCCTGCATCTAGATAACCTTGATATAATAAGAAGAAAATGGAAACATGTTTACATAGATGGCAATAAAGCAAATGATTTCACAATGTTATGTAACCCCATTGGGTTTTAGAGAGCATGGCCCTTTAAATCTTTTTCCTAAGGGGGAAGGGGAGAGTAAGAAAAGAGGAGGGAAACTCCAGGGGGGCAGCGCTGGAGCTCCAAGGAGAGGGAGAGGCAGCCTGCAGCCCCTGGAAAAGTGAAGCAGAAAAGAACCTGCCTGAAGCCTGGGAAGGACAGGGCCGATCGGGGACACCCCAGGACAGGAGCCAGGAGGAGCACTGTGCCAGGGAGGAATTGCCCGAGAAGGACAAGCCAGAGCTGGACCCAGTATCGCGGCTGCCCAGGGCTGCATGGGGCTGTGAGTACTGGGGCTTGTGACTCTGCATTGGGAATAAGGAGGGAGGCTGTAGCTAGTTAAGTGGGGAGGTGGTCGCTCTGTGTGGCTTTGCAGAGAGCGGCAGAAGAGGGCACCGGAAGGGTTTGTTGGGGGAGAGTTCACTGGCGCCGAAGACGACCAGGAGCACCCAAGACTCACCACTGGACTGGAACTTTGTTCAGGGCTCCTGAACTCTGTGTGCAGACAGACTTTGCTCAGTGTCTGCCCTTCCAGACTGCGCTACCACTGAGCCTGTGGGGCCTTGGCTTGGATGCAGCCCTGTCTTACTGCACCCCCTATATTTCCCCTGGTTGTTTTTCTCCTCTCATCCCCCTGTTATATCCACTGTACTTTTCCTGTGGGTGGGTGTGTTCACTCTGGGGGGTTTGGAACAGGTGCCCCTGAGGTGGAAGGGATTTCTCCTGCTGCATTCCTACGCGCGCCATCTCTTGGCCAGAGCTGCCTGCAGAGCAGACTCCATCTTGGCCACGAGGGCACTAAAGTTACACTTGGTGGCCCGTACGGGGACTTTGCAGTACACACACACACACACACACACACACACCCCTACGTTGTGCACCCTGGGCTCTTCTTCACAGAGCAAAGAAACTCCTGAGTGACTTTCATCTCAGTTAAAAAAAAAAATGGAGGGGGGATTATTAGAAGACCTGTGCCAAGGGGCACGAATCCCAGAAACCAAAGCTGTGCTGGTGGCGGGGGTCCCAG